ATTTGTTAAGTTATACCAATTTTTATCAATCATCACATGATCTTTACATCGGCCAAAATAAATATCATTCAATACTATTTACATTGCACACTTATTTAAAGTTTAGAATTTTTTATTTTTCGTATACGCGATATATTGCACCCTATAAGATCTGATATAATATTAAATCAAAACAATAAAATTAATTCATTAATTTAGGATTAGGGTGAGGGTTAGATTATGGTTAGGGTAGGGTACTTTAGTAAAGTGATTCTAATTCAAAATTTCAAGAAGAATTTTTTTTGTTAAAGCACGAGATATAGTTTAATAGGCAAAATTTCGTACTATAGACAATTTTGATAAAAAATCATAATTGCTTCGATTTCACATTACACCTGATCTTGCATTCTAATTGGTTGATCAGGGGTGGTGATACAATGCCATAGTGATAAATTATAAAATCCTAAAGTTTATATCAAAATAGTATTTAGTTAGTACCGCTACTGTTATACCTAGAATTATCTCTTCGAAATCTGGTATAACGGTTTTACTATAATGACGGGGATATTTAAGGAAGTAATATTAAAATGCTGATTTATGCTAAGTAAAGTATGTGGTTAGTTGTGGTTACATTTTAAGAGGATTTGGTAATTTTGCAATCACGAAAGAGACAAACGGCTAATTGTATATGAAGATACAAATAGTCGTATAATCAAGTTTATAGTTTATTCAATAATTTACTCAAGTTATACATGTATGAAGATACTATAACTAATCGACAATTTATTCAAGCAATCTGTGTATGAAGACATGATCACTTTTTTAGGAATTGTTAGTTTATTTAATAAAGTGTTTGAGTTGTTCATGTATGAAGACACGATTACTTCTTTATTATTATTGAGTTGTAACGAACTGTTCTTTTACAAGAGCGATATATAAGCTTATTTATATATTTTAATCATTATAACTTTTTGCTATTATTTCTATTAATAAACATTTAGCACTATTTAGCACTATTTAGCACTGTTTAGTGCTTCTAAAATTATAAGTGCTTCAAAACTAGTGGTATTATTTGCATCATTTAGCGATAGCTAGCGCTAGTTAGCGCTACTTAGCACTCTTGGTATTAGTATTACATTTCTGCCTAATTGTCACATAATACTTATTTACAGGGGTTAATATTTTCCTTCCTAAATTTTGAGCTTCAGCGAAAAATCTTTTTAAGGAGATGGTTTAAAATAATAATAGAAATAATATAATATTATTACTAACTAAAATTTTGTAAAAATTTTATAAAAATTACTATAGGCTGGTACGTAATCGTAGCCCTTAGGAAACAGAGTTTACCATCCACTAGCTGGTTTCGAACCTACAACTGCTAGTAACAGTTATACGTCTTTATTATTTTACTATAGTAGGTATAATAATAAAATTTGTTTGTTGTACAGTTTATAAAATTAATTTTTTTGATAAAATTGTTCAATAAATTAAGGTTTGCTCATGTGATTTAAATAAGGTTTTTAAGGTGTAAAAAAATTTTTTGAAAATTTAGAACAAAAATTTTAACAAGATGGTCCACTATTACAAAAACTTAAACAAAAAGAAATGTTAGTTCAAGGAAGAGATTGAAAAGCAGAGGTAATAAATTAATAATAAAATAAAAGTAAAAATAAAACAAAAATAAAAGTTGAATAATAATAAATAATTTTATAATTTGTAGGAAAGAGTCGGAAAAAAATTGGTAATAAAATTTTTAATAATATAGAAATATTAATAATATTAATAATAATTAATTTATATTTTTAGGGAGAGAGTGTGGATTAATCATTTAGAAGAAAAAATACAGATTTGGAGCAGAAGGTCAAAAATATGGAAAGTCATAAAGATCGGTGACGGACACTATATCAGGAGAGTAATGTAGAACTTGGGGAGATGATAGATAGGTTGTTGCGAGAACAAAGAGAAACAGGAGAACCACCGGTGGTAAGTAGAAGAGATGTTAAATGGAAGAAGAAGTATGAAGAGTTGTCAAATAAGGTCAAAAGGAGAGAAGAATTAGAGCAAGAGTTGGATGCAAATTTTTTAAGGTGGAAAAAAGCTTTTATTTGCAGAGTAAGTTGAATGAAATTTGTGGTGAAAGAGACAAAATGAAGAGAGATAAAGATTAGTTGATGAAGGAGTTAGATAGAGAAAAAGATAAGATGAAAAGAAAGACAGATTAATTAAAGGTGTTAGAAAAAGAGAAGTTAGAATGGCAGCAAAGGAAGCAGGAGTAGGATAAAAAACGAACTGAATTGGAGAAACAAAGACAGGTGTTGATAAGTGATCGAATTTTTTATCAACGTAAGATACAAGGGATGTTGATGTAAGTTTTTTTTTTTTTTTTTTTTTTTTTGTAATAGAATTTTATAATATATAATTAAATAGGGATGAAACATATAAGAAAAATTTAAAGAAGATGGAAATTGACTTTGAAGAAATAGAAGATGTTATGGAGATTGAATCCGATAATTTCATGACCATACGAGATTCTGAAAATGAAGAAAGATAGATAAATTAATAAACTTTTTTTTTTTTTTTTATTTATTTAACTTTGTATATTTATAGTCCAAGAGATAAAGGAAAAAAGACAGTTGTTCCCAAAGCAGTTGTTGCCAGAACAGAAGAGGTTATAGATTTAGATTTTGACAGGGAAAAGTGGATCGACTGGGAAAAATTTGTTTTGGATGATACTAAGGAGGGAGATAGTAGTCATGGTCTGGGTTATAGGAGATTGTAAAAATATATGAAGTTATTTTGCCAAATAGAAATTAATAAAATGCTATATGTAAAAAAAAAGTTTTTTTTTTTTTTTTTAAGTTTGATTTAAATGTTATGAGATAAAAGAATAATCTATAGAAATCAAAAGAGTTCTATGTAAGAAAAATAAAAAAAGATAAATATACTATTGGGACCATAGGGGTCTTCTTATTCCAACTTCACGGGTTTTTCTTCAACGACAACAGTGTCACGTGACTATTACGATTCGTAATAATGTTTCGATCATATGGGTAGTCGTGCCTACAGGGCTGTTAAAGCCTGATTCTTTCGGTTCTAATGTATTTTGGTTAAATCGATCTAGTATTAACCTATCATATATATGCCCTTTATACGTATGGGACTTTTGTCCGGGACAGGCTTGAGTCGGTCCTAAACAATCCATGTAAAGTTGACTCAAGGATCGGGTTCAATAAGCCTTTCTAACAGTTTGTACTTTAGCAAAATGTTTCCAAATTAAGCTCTAATAAAAACGGCTATCATCTGAAACTGTGAATAAATATAGAAACACAATTCAAAACTGTATTAATTCCTCACGCAAGATGGCTGCCCCTTCTTTTCGTATCGGTAGTAACATGTGATGTTCAGTTACTATTTGGGTGGGCCATTGAAAATTACTTATATTCGCTTCCTCTATCGCAAGATATCTGTTACAAGATTCAAAACTGAGAACAAGTTAATTAAGCAAGAACTGGCGTAGTTGAACATGACATATGTAATATAATATGACAATGCTAATTAATATATACTAGATAATTTTTTTTTTTTTTTATCAATTTTGAGGTGTGCCGGGACACAATTATTGTCGTATAGCATTACGTGGGCGGAAGACGATGTAAATAAAGTAGATATCGCAGAGGTCTTTTCGTATTTTAGTTTCTTCAAGGGTTTCTTTCTGTTACGGCGGCGGTATCATGTGACTAATTTTTTTTTTTGACTTAGAATCGGATAAGTAAAATTAATAATGCTTCTCCGCCAGGGTCGAATATTCTTGGCCCTATCCAATAGGAAAATACGGGTTCGAAATCTTTCTTTCTTTTCGTATTAACGTCTTGGCTTCTCAAATTCTTTCTTCTATCTATATATCCAGCTTCATGAAAAAGGGTCCAGACTTTTACTGCAGTTACTAGTTCTTTTGGGCTTGGAGCTTTCTTTTCCACTTTCCGGGATGGTGGATCAGTAGTATGGGTGAATTCTTTTACCATATCGTTCTCAATTCTTCTTTTGTTATCTTGGTAAGTTAATTCCTTCTTTGGTTTTTCATTTTCGCTGATCATCTTTCTAAATTCTTTAACCTTCTTATTCCAGGTATCACATATAGCTTCCAGAGGTCCTGTAAGTGTTCGCATTTCAACTTTGCTTTTGTTTAATACCCTTTCCACTTTACTAACAAATTTTCTTGCTTTTTCCTTGATGTCGATAATTGTTTTCTCCTTAACCGTTCCGTCATTTCCGTTACAATACCCATTAATTTTGGTGACCTTATTCTCATTTTCGTCCATGCGATATTTATTTAGTTCAATACCAGTCCTATTATTATAGCAATAATTGACCTGAAGCAGTTCTTTAATGCTTTCCGTCCTAGCCACTTCTTTATAATGAATGGGCGCCTTATATTCGTCCGTTTCAAATTTGGTTCTGTTCTAATAGCACAAACTAAGGTTATTCTAAATATTTGAGTTTCCGTCTTTGACACTCTTCGAATACCATTCAAGTGCCTTGAGTTCATTTTTGACCGTGCAATTGTTATTCTGACAACGGGGTCCAGGATTGTACGGTTCTTCTTTAACAGACTTTTGGTCGGGGATGCATGCTTTATACTGATTTTTTCCAAACAATCTTCAGGATCGTTACTTCCATTTGGATTATCCATCTCCATGGATTCTTGCAGAGTCTCATATCTATCCTTTTCGAAACTAATTCCATTCTCATAATGGAATCCAAGATCGAATTGTTCATTCGAATTGTAATCTTCAACACAACCCAGGTATCGTTCGGATTTCTCGAGTTCAGCTTCAGCAGACTTTTGATAGCAACTGAATGTTTTATACTCATCTATCTCAGTTCTTATTCCAACTTGTTCGTAGCAATCAGCTATGTGTGTTTCATCGTCCCCTTCTACTTTGATTCCATTTCCATTTTCATTGCAATAGCCAACATTATTTATTCTATTGGCGTGATCCATCTCCGCAGACTCTTGATAGTGGAGACGTTCGTCTCCTTCAGTTCTGATTTCATTTCTACACCAAGGTCCAGGTTGATTTACTCCCTTATTATCAGTAGCAGTTGTTTGATTTTTATCGTCCTTACCATCGTCGACCTTACTGTTCAAACAACTTCTCTCGGATTCTCTATTAGCTTCCGTTTTGAGGGCCTTCCAAACATCGCAACCTTGTTCCCAGCTTTCATCTTCTTTAAATGCATTACCTTTGTCACCGGCCTCAAGGTTTCCAGCTCTATTAGCATATGTTTCATATTCGTGGCCCTTGGTGGCTTCATTTTCATTATTATAACAGCATCCAAGCATATACACTCCGTTAACTTGTTTCATATTGGCTGCTATATTGTCTTGATCTATACTTGCCAATAGTTGGTCGTTTAAAAACTCCTGATATATATCCTCTTCATCTTCGATTTCATTTCAATACCAGTATTCGGGAGTGGTTTCGTTAGCATATTCTATCTCGGCAGATTCTGGATACGTGAATCGGTTACTGGATCTATATGGTGTCGATGATGGCTTTATATATGTAGGTAGATGAATGATCGATAGTGCTTCAACTTTTCTCTTTTCATTTGTGAAGTCTTCCAAAATCTCCAACATCAATTCCAGAGCTTGCGGAATCTGTGCATCGTCAATAGACTCATATCCCCAAACTTCGTCGATTATACTTTGAACTTCATCTAACTCTTCTGGGGCAAGTGCCGTTAGTATTCTATGACATTTCAGTTCTAATTGCCTTATATATTTATTTCTTTTACAATTCTGATTTTTCTGTTTCATTTGTGAATCTTCATAAATGATGGCGAGTAATTTCAATACATAGGATTATCCCAAATCTGATTTTAACCTTCTAGTTACGCCTTCAATTCGTTACAATTTCTTACAGTTTTTCAGTGACGAAAGAATTCTGATCTCACAGTCACCACCAAATGTTATACCTGGAATTACCTCTTTGAAATCCGGTATAACGGTTTTACTATAGTGACGGGGATATTTAAGGAAATAATATTAAAATGCCGATTTATGCTAAGTAAAGTATGTGGTTAGTTGCGGTTACGCTTTTAAGCGGATTTGGTGATTTTGCAATTACGAAAGAGGCAAACGGCTAATTGTATATGAAGATACAAATAGTCGTATAATCAAGTTTATAGTTTATTCGATAATTTACTTAAGTTATACGTGTATGAAGACACTATAACTAATCTACAATTTATTCGAGCGATCCGTGTATGAAAACACGATCACTTTTCTGAGAATTGTTAGTTTATTTAATAAAGTGTTTGAGTTGTTCGTGTATGAAGATACGATTACTTCTTTATTATTATTGAGTTGTGGTGAACTGTTCTTTTACAAGAGCGATACATGAGCTTATTTATACATTTTAATTATTATAACCTTTTGCTATTATTTCTATTAATAACCCTCTAGCGCTATTTAGCGTTATTTAGCACTGTTTAGCGCTTCTAAAATTATAAGTGCTTCAAAACTAGTGGTGTTATTTGCATCATTTAGCGATAGCTAGCGCTAGTTAGCACTACTTAGCACTCTTGGCATTAGTGTTACATTTCTGCCTAATTGTCACATGATGCTTAATTACAGGGGTTAACACTTAAGTTAACACTACCAAAATTATTTATTTATCTAAAATTTAAAAAAAATCATGATTTTCAATAGATTTCTAATTATAGTTAAAATTGCAGATCATTTTATCAGATTTAAAATTGTTTTGTTTAGATCTGGCTAAATGATCTGCAAATTTGACCAGAATTATGAACGATCGGTGCCTC